GTAAGACTAGAGGGAAGGCAGATAGTGAACAGCGCCCACCGTATATCTTAGGCTACTTTTGTCTGACCAAATAGTGGAACTTCACCGTCTCTCTTATAACGCACCCACAGCTTAAAGTGCGTAACGTATTTTTTGTAGCAACGGGAACCATGAACCCTAGGTTTCACAGTCTGGGATATACTAAACAGTAAGGCCACGACCAGCCCAGATTACAGTAGTTTAGGGGTAGAATTAAAAATAACTATTCTAACAGCACATATAAGTTCATTCAGAAAATCTGTGTGAAAGAACTCTTACTAAAGTAATCCAATGCAGAATTTCAAGTTTTCAGATAAATGTTAACCTCGCACACAGACGCTCTTCCTTCTTCGTTTGTTTTGTTAACTTCAAAATTTTGTTGCAGGTGAACCACCAAGTGGCAAAGTGGCGGCATTAGAATATTACAGCTCATCGCCTTACTCTTCTTCTTATTATTACAGTAGGTAAGTGCTATAAACAAGTATGTGAAATAATAGTAATAATTATAATAAAAACAAACAAACAAAACATCAGGCATCCGTGATAAGCTGCATTTAGCACCCTCTATCGTCTGTCAGGGTGAAACCATTAAATTGTATGAGAATAAAATATACTTGAATTGTACTAATTTGTTACTCGTGACGTATGAAATACTTCAGTTAATTATCGATTTTTTGTATTGATTATTATTATTACTGATAATATCATTCATTATTATCAATATTGCCTTTTTTCCCAAGTTATAACATTGTTATACCAATTTTAATTTTAATATTTCGTAGTTCTGTTTCAGGTTGCCGGTACAAATATTCTATTTTTAATACGTCAGTAAGTTCTTACTTTTGGATAACAGACTGAATGCTGGATTTTGACAAAATTCGGTGTATTTACTAATAACAAATTCAAATTTATTGTATCCACCTAAGCCGAAGCCTTTAAGCAATGATTATTATTATTATTATAGCAATTAGATTAGTTTCCTGCTGATTTAAGATTTTACTTCAAAATATTTTAAATTAACATATTAACATATTAAATTAACTTTTGTCTACTTATATTTTAGTCATGTTCAGTTGCAACGGTTGTAAATCCAATTTACAGTATGATCTGGGATCATAGTTGTCTAATGTAGTCATCTTCAGTTTCAAGACTTGTAAACACAATTTACAGTATGATCTGGGATCACAGTTGTCTAATGTAGTCATCTTCAGTTTCAACACTTGTAAATACAAGTTACAGCACCATCTGGGATCACAGTTGTCTAATGTAGTCATCTTCAGTTGCAACAGTTGTAAATTCAATTTACAGTGACATCTGGGATTACAGTTGTCTATTGTAGTCATCTTCAGTTTCAACACTTGTAAATACAAGTTACAGCACCATCTGGGATCACAGTTGTCTATTGTAGTCATCTTCAGTTTCAAGACTTGTAAGTACAAGTTACAGCACCATCTGGGATCACAGTTGTCTAATGTAGTCATCTTCAGTTGCAACAGTTGTAAATTCAATTTACAGTGACATCTGGGATCACAGTTGTCTAATGTAGTCATCTTCAGTTGCAACAGTTGTAAATCCAATTTACAGTGACATCTGGGATCACAGTTGTCTATTGTAGTCATCTTCAGTTGCAACAGTTGTAAATCCAATTTACAGTGACATCTGGGATC